CGTCTGTTATGCCTGAAGACGGTAATTTTGATGATGATGATTATTATTATTATGATGTTGATGATGAAGGTGATGTTGATGTTGATGGTGAAGGTAACGATGACATCGATAATGATGATGATGATGATGATGATGATGATGATGATGATGATGATGATGATGATGACATCAGTTCATTTAAACAGTTATTCTTTACTTTAAACAACCATTCTTAGGTTGAGTATAAGTAAAGTAACCACTTACCTAATCCTAACCCTATGCCAAAATGTGGGAGAATCAGCTGTGGTACATCAGTGGCGAATGGAAGCTGTAAGATACAGAGACCTTAAAAGTAATGTTGATGAAAAATCATTCACAGACTCGTATTTTTAAGAGATTATAAAAGTGGATAAAAAATCATTCGCTGAGACATGAAAGTTAATTAAAGATCATTCACTCACTCATATCTATCTATCTATCGTTCTCTCTCTCTCTCTATCTATCTATCTATCTATCTATCTATCTATCTATCTATCTATCTATCTATCTATCCATCTATCCATCTATCTATCTATCTATCTATCTATCTATTAGTGCGTGGTCGAAGGGAGCCACTCGTAGACGTACAATTTCATTTTGTTCCCGTCTGTTGTTTGTGTTATCATTGCATTAGACAGCGGCTTTCATCATAGTCATTATATTATGGCCCTTATCGTGTTATATACATAATATCACAAACATAGACAGCACACACCTGTAACACTCGTCGCCACTGTGTGCCCGCCCTATTTTTTTTATCTAAGATTGCCGTGTCATTTTTGGCCTTTTCATGCCTTTGTGGCTAACTTCTATTTTAAAAGTGAAATTCCAAACCATTTCTAGCGTGATGTGTCTTTTTCATTTGGCCGCCAAAGTCGCACACCCGACCTATACAAAAATGACGTAAAAGTATCGTTTGCACACTTTGGAACTTTTCCCCAAAATTTGATTCCAATCTTGTTCTTTTTCCAAGTGATGCTGAGGTTTCTGTGGGGCATCCTAGTTTACCGTATCCTTGGCTCTTTGGGGGAATGGATGCAAGGGGTTTTCCCTATATGAACCATGTGGATGGAAAGTGTTAAGGACGCACCCCCAGTGACCATCCACTGACTTGTATTAGATGTTATGTGTCTGAGCTCGCTAACGACTCCGTTTCTTAGGACTCCGGGTTTTAGTAAGAGTTTTACGGCACTTGCAACACAACAAGAAAATATTTGTGTCGAAGATTAGAGGTGCTACACGAGAGTAACAAACACGAAAAAGAAGGGGGAGAAATACGGTCGATAGATGCAGGGGCGAAGCGTCTATATAATCAAATAATCACTGCTTCCCTTTCTAATTTTGAAACATTGTCGCTGTCAAATTCATCCTTAAACGTAAACCTCATAAATTAAATGTCAAAAGACGTTCGTAATCAACAAATAAAGTGAGGCTGGAATAGAGTTGAAGGGAACATGTGCATGGCAGTCAAAGCTGTTTCATTGCCACATATACCCTGTTCACCCCTTTGGGGCCACAGTTAAAATCAATCACCAGCCCTGATTAAGTAAGCTAGCTAACACTGGTCGAGTCTACCTCACAAATGTGAGGGGAACTAACTCTTAATAATCTCTTGACTGCTGCTTGTGCTTGGGTTTTTCCTCGACTTTTTACCGGCCTATAATCAGATCGTGACCTCAATTATGACACCAGCTCCTGGCCGCGAAAGGCTAACAAAAACAGCCAAATGTGAAATTTAAAAAATAATAATTGTCATGTTCTACCAAAGAGTTAGACTCACTGGTAGATTTATAACATATAGATCTAGTACTGACATCTCTGCTTCTTTGCTTTATGTTTATGTATTCACATCTAAAGTTAGGTTTAATTTTAGTGGGAACTGATATTTAATAAGATACTTTCCCGATTATTTTGGCGGTTGAACATACAATATGAATTCCGGATTTGTTTTCATTCACAACTCAGAGTCGCCGCCTCGAGTAAGATTCTTGTGTGATATCTCCAGGCCCTATCTGGTCCCATTTCACTTTGATTACCCTGTCAAACAAGTCAGCCTTCGCCCCTGGATGGATGTTTGATAAGAAAGAAGGAGCATGGCAAAAATACACCGGAGCGCCTGCCAACCAAGCACTTTCAAGACCGTCTGTCATAACTTACGTCTGTCATAACTTGCGTCTGTCATAACTTACGTCTGTCATAACTTACGTCTGTCATAACTTAACGTACGTCTGTCATAACTTACGTCTGTCATAACTTACGTCGGTCATAACTTAACGTACGTCTGTCATAACTTACGTCTGTCATAACTTACGTCTGTTACAACTTAACGTACGTCTGTCATAGCTTACGTCTGTCATAACTTAACTTACGTATGTCATAACTTACGTCTAACATAACTTAACTTACGTCTTTCATAACTTAACTTACGTCTTTCATAACTTAACTTACGTACGTCTGTCATAACTTAACTTATGTCTATCATAACTTACGTCTGTCATAAATTAACTTACGTCTGTCATAACTTACGTCTATCATAACTTAACTTACTTCTGTCATAACTTACGTCTATCATAACTTACGTCTATCATAACTTACGTCTGTCATAACTTACGTCTGTTATAACTTACGTCTGTCATAACTTAACTTACGTCTATCATAACTTGCGTCTGTCATAACTTAACGTACGTCTGTCATAACTTAACTTACGTCTGTCAAAACTTACGTCTGTCATAACTTGATTTACGTCAGTCATAACTTACGTCTATCATAACTTACGTCTGTCGTAACTTACGTTTGTCATAACTTAACTTATGTCTGTCATAACTTAACGTACGTCTGTCATAACTTACGCATATGAGACAGAGGGCGATGAGCAGCATGCATGCCACTGTGCAGATCCACCTGAGTGTTTGACCAAAGCAAAGACAGATTAATAAACAGGTACAAATCGTATGTAAACTTTTTTTTTTCCTTTTTTTTTGGGGGGGGGGGGCTGTAGCTCCAAGATAATGCCGTGTAAGATTCTATCTAAGTTGTCTAGAGGCCATCGTTTCTACATGTCTTGAACACGCATGTAGTCAAGTGTCTCAACACTTACTCTCCCCCCCCCCCCCAAAAAAAAAAGAACAACTCAAAATATAGCATGATATATTATTATATTTTCGCCAATCAACAGTTTGCCTGTCACGTACCTGCCAACACTACGAGCGACGACAGCAAAACAGTTAGTGCCAACGAGGTATCCGATGCTGTCAGGTAGGAATATCAGACCTTTTGTGGAGGGAAAAAAACACAGAGAAAAGTAGAAGAAAAACATAATTGTAGAATGTTACACCCCTATCAACACTATCTAGATCATGTAGGAGGCTGAAGAGAAAAAAAAATCTGCCCCCCTCCCCTCCCCTAATTAATAGCAGCCATAGGAGTTAAGTACAATCCAAGCTTAGCCTTCTTTTTTACATTAGTGAAAGAACTCATTTTAAAATGCAAGTTAACATTATTCTCCGATAGGGAAAAACGGCGAGGCTTGTTCTTAGTAACTGCTTACAAAACATAAACAAATTACCTTAAATAACATAGCTTCTAAAGCAAAGCACCAAAATAGGGATGGTTGAGCAAGGGCACATATAAACGTCAACATAGTGTTATGGACACCGCTTCTCAAAAATGCTCAACCTCTAGCTTCTTCCTCGTGCTCCAGAGAAGCAACGCATAGTAAATGTAACTGTGTCACTCGTCCATTTTTGGATATCATAATATGTAGTTACTGGTATCATCTTAAAGCTTTTTCATTGGTCAATCTATCTTTCGACGAAAAAATGTCCACCTGTCTCAAATAATAGAAGTTGAGATATTTGCGATTGAAGGAGTTGGCAGTCACCTGGTTTCAGAGGTTAAATTAGCGAGAAAATGGCTAGACTTCATCGTTCACATAGTGTGCAACCCTGGTTCCAATGTGGAAAAACAACTTTATTTTTTAACTTGAGTTGGTTGGCGAGATTTCACATCAATTTGCTCCTGCTATTAGACATTGACGCTGAACTCGGTATAATAAAGTCGTTGCTCCTTTAAAGTTACCAAACGACACACCAGGTCTAAGCGCGCTCCGTTAATTCTGTTTGTATCTCGTCGGACTACGGATTGTATAACCCTTGTTCAAACCCCTAGGTGTTCTAGAACTCGGGTATTTAAAGGCTTTCTACTCATTTGGCTTGGCCCGATCGGAGATGAATGTAATTCGGTGGTCCTACCTCTTAGATAACCTTTCATTATTAAAGGAGTGTAAAATATAACAATACAGTTTTGAAAAGGGTGTAAAATCTAACCTTACAATGTCGGGAGGGTTGCTAAACCTAACCTTAGGCTACAAAGTTAGAAGGGTTGCTAAATCTAAACAAACAGTAATGAAAGGGGTGCAACATTTTAAATATTTGGGGACCATTATATCATCAGGTGGGAGATGTCACACCGAAATTAAAAGCCGCATTTGCCAAGCAAAAGCAACCTTCCACAAATGTAAACAGATTCTTACAAACATCAATCTGTCACTGGAAGCAAGAAAAATAGTACTGAAAAGTTACATCGAGCCAATCCCATTAAACGGGTGCGAAGCATGGACAATCAATAGACAGCTGGAAAGAACAATTGAGGCGACAGAGTTGTGGTTCATAAGACGCATGCTGTGTATCCCATGGACAGCTAGAAAAAAATGAACAAGTCTAGTTAAAGCAAATTGCAGACGACAGCTTATGACGAGTATACGAAAACAGCAGGCAAATTTCATTGGACACACAATGCGGAAAGAAGCATTGAAGAATACTGTAACAACAGGCAAGTTTGATGGAAAGAGAGGTAGAGGCAGAGAAAGGGAAAAGATACCGGACAAGTTAACAACAGGCCTAGGAACAGCAAGAACAACAGACACAATTGCTGCAACACAGGACAGAGTGAAGTGGAGGTCCATGATCGCCCACGCCAGTCGG